AGTAGTAGTAGTAGTAGTGGTAATAGTAGTAGTAGTAGTAGTAGTAGTAGTAGTAGTAGTAGTAGTAGTAGTAGTAGTAGTAGTAGTAGTAGTAGTAGTAGTAGTAGTAGTAGTAGTAGTAGAAGTAGTAGTAGTAGTAGTAGTAGTAGTAGTAGTAGTGGCTGTAATGGGAATAGTATTAGTGGAAATGTTAATCGTAGTTGTAGTTGTCGGAGTCGTCGTCGTCGTCTTCGTCGTCGTACTCAGTATAGTCGTTGTAATATTTGTTTCTCTCCCGCTGCGCCTCACGGGGGCGATCGCCGTGCCCGGCGACGAGCCGTTGCAACTCCCACGCAGCGCAAAGGCAATGATCAATTTTGGCCTGTCGGGTTAACGCCACCACCTAGGAGGAGGAGGAGGAGAAGGAAAACCAAAGCACCTGGAGCAACGCTCAGGCCACATTGAAATAAAATGGCCGTTGCGCGCAGCTGGGGAGTCAGTACCCTGGCAAACTTTATAGTTAGACAACTATCTGAAAACAAGTTCGCAAATCATTAGTACAATCAGTTGAGGTGATAGGAGAGGTTGTACCAGTAGTAGTACTAGTAGTAGTAGTGGTAGTAATAATAAAGAAAGTCGTCGTAGCAATAATACTAGTAGAAGACGTAGTACTAGTAGCCGTAATAGTACCAGTAGTAGTAGTAGTAGTAGTAGCAGTAGTAGTAGTAGTAGTAGTAGTAGTAGTAGTAGTAGTAGTAGTAGTAGTAGTAGTAGTAGTCGTAGCAGTAGTAATCGCAGTAGCAGTATTGGTAGTAGTAGTCGTAGTAGTAGTAGTAGTAGTAGTAGTAGTCGTAGTCGTAGTTGTAGTAGTGGTAATAGTAGTAGTAGTAGTAGTAGTAGTAGTAGTAGTAGTAGTAGTAGTAGAAGAAGTAGTAGTAGTAGTAGTCGTAGTAGTAGTAGTAGTAGTAGTAGTAGTAGTCGTAGTCCTAGTAATGCTAGTATTCGCAGTAATAGTCGCATTGGACGTAGTAGTAGTAGTAGTAGTAGTAGTAGTAGTAGTAGTAGTAGTAGTATTAGTAGTAGAGCAAACGTAGTTGTGGTCGTAGAATTTGAGGTAGTCGTGGCAGTCGTACTGGTATTGGTAAATCGTAGTTTGAGTAGTAATAAAAATAGTAGTGGTACTAATAATAATAGTAGTAGTAGTAGTAGTAGTAGTATGTGGTCGTCCTCGTAGTCGTAGTAGTAGTCGAAATAGTAGTCGTCGTAGTAGTAGTATTAATAATCGTAGTAGTAGTAGTAGTAGTACTAGTAACAATCATAGTAATATTCGTAGTGGTGGTAATAATGATGGATATAGTAGCAGTAGTACGGGTGGTCGTCGTAATAATAGTAGTGGTAATAGTAGTGGTAGTAGAAGTAGTAATAATAGTAGTAGTCGTCGAAATGGTAGGTCGTAGTCGAAGTAGTAGTAGCTGTCGAAATAGTAATAGAAAACAGAAAAGGGAGGAGCAGCAGCAGTAGTATTAGTAGTAGGTTTCGTAGGGACTTGTAGTACATATTATAGTGCTTCTTCTAGTTCCGGTAGGAGCAGTAGTAGTGGTAGTAGTAGTAGCCAGAGTACAAGTATAGGAAGTAGTAGTAGTAGTAGTAGTAGTAGTAGTAGTAGTAGTAGTAGTCGTAGTAGTAGTATTAGTAGTAGTGGTAGTAGTAGTAGTAGTAGTACTAGTAGTAGTAGTAGTAGTAAGAAAAAATAATCGTTGTACTAGTCGTGGAAATAGTCGTAGTAGTAGTAATAATCGTCGTAATAGTCGTAGTAGTAACAGTACAAGTAGTAGCGTAGTAGTCGTAGTAGTAGTAGTAGTAGTAGTAGTAGTAGTAGTCGTAGAAGTAGTAGTAGTAGTAGTAGTAGTAGTAGTAGTAGTAGTAGTAGTAGTAGTAGTAGTAGTAGTAGTACTATTAGTGGTAGTAACAGTAGTAGTACCAGTAGTAATAATAATATTAGTAGTAGTAGTAGTAGTAGTAGTAGTAGTAGTAGTCGTGGATGTAGCAGTAGTAGCCGTAGTAATAGCCGTACTCGTAGTCGTAATCGTATTCGTAGAAATAATACTAATTGTCGTAGTGCTCGCGGAAGCAGTGGCAATAGCAGTGGTAATAGTAGTAGTAGTCGTGGTAGTAGTAGTCGTAGTAGTAGTAGTAGTTGTAGTAGTAGTAGTAGTAGTAGTATTTCTAGTACCAGTAGTAGTGGTGGTAGTAGTAGTAGTAGTAGTAGTAATAGTAGTAGTAGTAGTAGTAGTAGTAGTAGTAGTAGTAGTAGTAATAGTAGTCGTAGTAGTAGTAGTAGTAGTAGTAGTAGTAGTAGTAGTAGTGGTAGTAGTAGTGGTAGTAGTAGTAGTAGTAGTAGTAGTAGTAGTAGTAGTAGTGGCAGTAGTAGTAGTAGTAGTAGAATTAGTAGTGGTAGTGATCGTAGTGCCAGTACTTGTAGAAGAAGTAGAACAAGGGGAAGTGATACTAGTGCTAGAAGTACGACTCGCAGTAATAATCATACCACTAGTCGTAGTTGTAGTAATAAGAATCATAATCATAGTAGTAGTAGGAGTAGTAGCAGTAGTAATCTTAGTAGTAGTAGTAGTAGTAGTAGTAGTAGTAGTAGTAGTAGTAGTAGTCGTACACATCGTAGACGTAGTCGTAGTCGCGCTTGTAGTAGGAGCAGTAGTAGTGCTAGGGATGGACGTAGTAGTCGTAGTTATACAAACAGTAGTAACCGAATTAGTGGAGAAACTAATAATCGTATTCCTAGTCGTAATACTAGTAGTAGTAGCGGTCGTAGTGGTAGCAGCGGGGAAAAACTAGTAGTAGTAGTAGTAGTGGTGGTAGTAGTAGTAGGACTAGTGCTGGTCGTCGTCGTAGTAGTAGTACTAGTAGTTGTAGTAGTATTGGTGGTGGAAGAAGTAGTAGTAGTAGTGGTAGTAGTAGTAGTAGTAGTAGTAGTAGTAGTAGTAGTAGTAGTAGTAGTAGTAGTAGTAGTAGTAGTAGTAGTAGTAGTAGTAGTAGTAGTAGTAGTAGTAGTAGTAGTAGTAGTAGTAGTAGTAGTAGTAGTAGTAGTAGTAGTAGTAGTAGTAGTAGTAGTAGTAGTAGTAGTAGTAGTAGTAGTAGTAGTAGTAGTAGTAGTAGTAGTAGTAGTAGTAGTAGTAGTAGTAGTAGTAGTCGTAGTAGTAGTAGTAGTAGTAGTAGTAGAAATAGTGGAAGTAGTAGTAGTAGTAGTAGTAGTAGTAGTAGTAGTAGTAGTTAAAGTAGTACAATGAGTATTAGGAGGAGTAGCAGTCGTATAACTAGTCGTCGCGGTCGTAGTCGCAGTCGCAGAAGTAGTAGTAGTAGTAGTAGTAGTAGTAGTAGTAGTAGTAGTAGTGGTAGTAGTAGTAGTAGTAGTAGTAGTAGTAGTATCAGTAGTAGTCGTCGTAAGAGTGAAGGTAGTAGCAGTAGTAGCAGTCGTAGTTCTAATCGTAGTAGTAGTGGTGGTATGGTTAGTAGTAAAGTAGTAGCCGTAGTGGTAGTAGTAGTAGTAATAGTAGTAGTAGTAATGGTAGCAGTTCTAACCGTAGTCGTAGTAGTAGTAGTAGTAGTCGTTGGTAGTAGTAGTAGTCGTAGTAGTAGTAGTAGTAGTCGTCATCGCAGTCGGAGTAGTAGTAGTAGTCGTCGTCGTCGTAGTCGTCGTCGAAGTAGCAATAGTCGTAGTAGTAGTAGTAGTAGTAGTAGTAGTAGTAGTAGCGATAGTAGTAGTAGTAGTAGTCGTAGTAGTAGTAGTAGTAGTAGTAGTAGTACTAGTAGTAGTAGTAGTAGTAGTAGTAGTAGTAGTAGTAGTAGTAGTAGTAGTAGTAGTAGTAGTTAGTAGTAGTAGTAGTCGTAGTAGTAGTAGTAGTAGTAGTAGTAGTAGTAGTAGTAGTAGTAGTAGTCGTAGTAGTCGTAGTAGTAGTAGTAGTAGTAGTAGTAGTAGTAGTAGTAGTAGTAGTAGTAGTAGTAGTAGTAGTAGTAGTAGTAGTAGTAGTAGTAGTCGTAGTAGTAGTAGTAGTAGTAGTAGTAGTAGTAGTAGTAGTAGTAGTAGTAGTAGTAGTAGTAGTATAGTAGTAGTAGTAATAGTAGTAAATAGTAGTAGTCGTAGTAGTAGTAGTAGTAGTAGTAGTAGTAGTAGTAGTAGTAGTAGTAGTAGTAGTAGTAGTAGTAGTAGTAGTAGTAGTAGTAGTAGTAGTAGTAGTAGTAGTAGTAGTAGTAGTAGTAGTAGTAGTAGTAGTAGTAGTAGTAGTAGTAGTAGTAGTAGTAGTAGTAGTAGTAGTAGTAGTAGTAGTAGTACAAGTAGTAGTAGTAGTGGTAGAGGTAGTAGTAATGATATTATGGGTTGCACTTGTAATCGTATTCTCATGGGCAATCGCATCCGCATTCTTAGTCTTCGCGCTCGTATTCTCAGAGAGACTTGTAATAGGATGCAGTTGTAATGCAATAGTTACCAGGCGCGGTTGTATTATTGATCCTGCTGCCATCCCAATTTCGAAAGCATCTGCATCATTCGTAGGAGTCGGAACGTTCGTTTTATTCTGCGAGTGTCATATCTGTTTTTGTTGTTCTTGTTGTTATCATTACTATCGTCTTTTATTATTGTTACCATTGCCATTTTTATAAGCATTAGTAGTTGACTTGTCATTGTTATTATTAATTGATTCTACGACGATTGTTACCATCAAGAAGAAGAGGAGCAGGAGGAGGAGGAGGAGCCTTACATCCTGCGTTCCCTCCCTGTCCCCCGTGCCTTTCGTCCTCGCCATCGTCCTCAATCTGCCCGTCCCCGTGATACCGCCACTCCTCAAACCTCTCCTGAGGTGCGCTCTGAACAGGACATCGAAGAGAATCCAGCCGTCGCGACGAGGGCTCTCCAGGACAAGCAGCGGTATGTCGTAGTAGTCGTCGTCTCCGCCCCAAGGCCCCCCCGAAGGCCACGCCGAAGCTGGAGGCGCCGGAGGCGGGGCCGGGGCCTCCCGGAGCCAGCCGGCCACGGAGTGCTCGCCCGGGGGCGCCGCCGAAGTGGTGGTCGTGGTGACCACGACCAGGTCGACCTCCGCTCCTCCTCCTCCTCCTCCTCCTCCTCTTCAGCTCCGCTTCCTCCAGCTCCTCTAAAGCGCAAAGGCCTCTCCCCAGTAGTCCATACGAAACCCCATGGAGCGGCCCCCATCCTCATCAACGGGGCCCTCACCCGCGAGGCGGGCGAAACGTTCCCGAAAACGAGAATGAGGGCCGCCCGTCGCTTCTTGCTCTCCCCCTCTCCTCGTTTCGCTACTCCTCCACCTCCTCCTCCTCCTCCCCCATCCCTCCTCCTCTTCCTCGTCCTCCGCCCCCATCAACCTCCTCCTCCTCCTACTCAGCCTCCTCCTCGTCCTCCTCCTCATCGTCCTCCTCCTCCTCGTTCCCCTCCTTCTCCTTTTCGTCCTCTTCCCCCTCGTCCTCGTCGTCCTCATCGTGGTCCTCCTCCTCCTCCTCCTCCTGCTTAATCTCTCCATCTTCCTTATTGAAAGACTCCTCCCTGTTGAAATTGGACCCTGGACGAAAGGTGGGCGATTGTTTATCTTCGCGAGCGCCCGCGGAGAAGCCTACACTCCTGTCGTCGTCCGGTCTCGGGCGCAAGGCCTAAAAAGCTATCGCAAACACACAGAGAGGGGGGGGGAGTAGTGGGACACGACATCAGCGGGACCACTTTCACTGGGTCTGACATAGCCACATTTGAGATTCTGCTCTCCCCGTCCTGGGCCTCTGGGCACCAATCGATTTCTTGGGCACGAAGCAAGGCATCCTCGGAGGCTTTCCTGGAACGGGACTTGGGTGAATTACTTGGGGGCCTCTCCGGCATGTGCCCTTCCTCGTCTACCAACACCATGGCCCCCGTAGTCAACATGTCACGCAGCGCGAGGTTGCCTCGCGAGGGGTCCGCCTCAGTGAGACAATCCGCTGCCATTCTTCCGTGCGGTATCCATCTTACTTGCGATCCGACAGTGCTCAAACTGTCGCGCACGACCGCCAGTTCGATGGCATTACGACGATCGGCGCGACTCCCGGCAAAGGTGCGGGACAGCGTATCGAAGATCGACTTCGCATCGACAACGGAAAGGGATGAGACCCCCCCGAGAGTGCAGTCTTTGCTCAGCACAACTGGAAAAAAAGGGGGCCTGTGACAGATGCCAGTCTGGTCGGCGCACGTCACCAAACAGGGCGTCGCGCCACATCATGGATATCCACTGAGCCTCGGCCATCGCAGCCGAGAGAAACAAGGTCCCGGCCGCTCCTGTTGAGGCTATCGCACGCTTCAGTCGAGTTGAGCGCCAGCTGAAGAGAGAAACTCGAGCACGCTTGTTCCGCCTGATCGCAGCATCGGCGGCGAGCACCATCCACCCTCCCTGAGCACCGTTCCTTCGAGCCGAACCGGGGCCTCCAGCATCCGAAACGGTAACAAAAGTAACACTAGCGGGGTCGAGGGGCCCGACAACGATTCTCTGGCTGGCTGTGCTTTTAAGACGTCGGACGATATTCAGGCATAGCATAGCATCAGCAAGGGTTTGAAAAGGAATGGCGGCGCTGTGTAAAGACGGGCCCGCGGCTGCATCAGTTCGACTCTCACGTCCGAACCATTGGATCTGTGTTATCTACAATGTCTGATCTCCTCAACATCCAGTAGCGCATCGGGTTCAGCTCGCCGCTCCTCAGCGAGTCTCATGGGGGTCAGTTGTTCTAAAACAAAGTTTTCTGGATCCACCAGGATCCCCCGCCCGGTCTGTCGTATGTGTTGGCCTGCGCAATCGACTTCCCGGGTCTCCCATTTTCCATAACGGAATCGAGACTGCAAGCGGTCCCGGAGCCCGTCCTTTGCACTTGGACCAGCCGCGACGATGAGATCGTCAACCTCGATCAGGGTCAAAGCACGGATTTCCCTTTGATTGGACCTCTTGATCCACAAACAGGGTTCCAAAAGAAACTTCGTACAACCATCTAGAACTAGCCGCTGTGCCAGCGTTCGGTGCCAGAGAAGCGGAGCATCGTTCAAACCATAGAGCGGCGCAATCAGTTCGATGAGCCCACCTGGGGCAAGGCTCAGCCCTTGGCAGGGCTCGCAGAAAGTAGCCCCTTTCGGTCGATGCAAGCCGTCGGACAGGCAAAACGCATTCTTGCAATCCGCTATCTGGAGGTCCCATCCGAGTGAGCACATGGCTTGGAGAGTCACCATGATGCTCTCGGAGTGTGGGATTGGGGAATAAACTTGGAGATCCTCGCGATCTGGATCGTGGTGCCCCTGAACACACCATCTGGTAGAATGGTCTTCCATTCTTTGGCGTCCGAGAAAATAGAACAGCTGTCTCTCTTCCTCGCAGAGAGACTTCAAAGTAACTTCGGCTCCCCGATGCGATGGCGGTCATTCCCCCTTTTCCTTGCCCGTGGAATCCAAGAAAGCGCCTCCGGCCCGAGGGGCCCAACAATCGTCGTCGAAGTGCAACCAGGAGCAGTGTTCTCCCCAGAGAAGCCCGTCCTGATCATCCCCAGGTATTTCAGAGTGCCAGGTTAACAGCTCGTCATCCTGGTCCTCTGGGGCCTCGCGTCGGGGCGAGCGAGAGCCATCCCTGGCTGGCTCGGCAACGTTGGCGCGCTCCACTGGCACTGCAGCTTGGGCTCGACCTAAGCTGTCTGACGCGGAAGCGTTGCCCCTGCTACGGATGAAGAACCAGCAGACTAGATCTGGCGGCCATCACCTCCCTCTCAGCAATCGCATCTTGGGCCCTCCCAATACCCTCTGGGGCGTCCTCTATCGGGGTCAGGCTAGGCCTCTGAGCCGGGGGGGGCTCGGTAAGGTCGTCACCTCGTCGCGCGGCTAGACTCGGCTCGGAATCTTCAGGCACGTCGTGGACCCGTCGAACCCCCTCGTCCCCAGACCTGACAGATCCCATCCCGGGAGACATACTTCCGCTAGAGATGGAGAGCGAGCGAGCCGTGGAAGCGCGATCTTCCGGCGGGGGCTCTGGACTCGGCCCCGCGACCTCTTCGGGCACGGGGGGCCCTGGCTCGCGAACGGGGGTCGGAACCGAAACTGGCCTCTCTTCCTCCTGGGCTGGTTCCTCCAGATCCCAGGCCTGCGGAGGAGGGGGGCCCTCAGCTTCGACGTCCACCGTCCCGACGCGACGTCCAGCATTCTGCAGCTCCTGCCTGCGCTGTGAGAAAGACGGCGGATCGAGAAGCTCAGCGCCCCAAGCCTCTTCATTTGTGGCCCGCCGAATCTGCTCCTGACTGCATTTTTAAAGGCGAGATCTCAAGGCGACCCGTGCGGTCGTGCCCTGCTGAAAAACCGCGGCGCTTAGACCAGTCCACCTACTCTTCTGGCTCCTGGGGGCCCCCTTGCCGCGGCCCCGGGACCCCCCCCCTCCCCCGCGCGTGCGCCCGCGCTCTGGGAAGGAAAATCCGATCCACGTGTTCTCTGGCCTCCTGAGCGGCCGACAGTCGGTCCCGGGCGTGCATCTCCATCGGCCTTCTTGGCCTCTTCTCTCAACGCGTGTTTCCTTGCAAAAGCTGAAGCTGGCGAGTTGGAATCCGTGGCGCCTCTGATGGCGTCTCCTATCCCCACCTCGTCCATGGCCTCATCGGAAATCAGCGACCTTGCTAGTTTTGGGTTCTCTTCAGAGACCATGTGATAAGGTGAGAACCCCCCTCGGTGTGAATCGCGGTTCTTGGCCGCAACAACTTCACGCAGCAGCTCTTCTATCTGTTCCAGGGAAGTGGGGGCTGCACCTTGCGCAGCCCAGGCCGAAGCCCTTTTTGCGAGACCTCGGTGTCTCTCGTATCTTCCGGCTGCCAAGGGGATTCAGCAGCGCTGACGTGTTGGTGGGCCCCCTGATGCTCCAACCCCTCGAGAAAACCCTCTCGAACTCAGCGCCCCCATCAGTCCTTGTGATCTCGGGAATCCCGGAGGGTCTGGCCAAACAACTTCTGGAACCGCCCCCAGACTCCTTCCAAGGTGGCGGCTTTCAACAGAGTGCACGCCTGAAGATTGGAACCGTGATCTAGTAAGTTGAGAACTGGGTGAGTTCCCTCCAAGGCGTCCATATAGAAGAGATCAGCGGCGACCGACTTATTGAAGCGGTAGGTCCTCGGAAGATGCGTCCTTCGGCGCCGTCCAGGTCTCGAGCCGGAGTCGTTGCTCGGACGCTTGAAACTCTGCGAGACCCATCGGATGACCTCTGGCTTGGCCTTTCTGACCCTCAAGGTTCCGATGCAATGTTCCCTCCTCGGGGGCCCCAGGTTCGCGTGGAGCTTGTGAAATTCGTCCTGCGTCTCCGTGGGAAGGGCCTGGCCGATTTTCCCGGGGCCCTTTCTGGCCTCTTCAGGCCTCCTGGTTCCGCGCTCCTCTTCGCAATCACTTCCCCCCTCATCTGACGCATGGGTCGGCAGACGGTTCAGCCTCGGCAGACGGCTCAACCTCGGCCGAGGTAAAGGAGGCACGAGCAGACTGACTCGTGACTGCCTGCTCGATGCCCTCGGAGGGAGCCGCCGCTAAGCCTGGAGGAAAACTTTCAGCTGCTGAGCCCTGGCGCCGCCGGTCAACATCGAATGTGGAGGGGTGCCAGGACGCACTCTTCTGCGCTGTAAGAGAAGGAAAGGATTGTTGGAGTAAAATGTCGCTGGCTTCATCACGACCGTCTAGGGTCCTGAGACCAAAACTTCACTGATCCCCTCGAGTCTCTGACGCCCTCGGTTGGCTCAGCAGAATCTCCGTCGACTTCAATTTCCTAGGGGACGCTCCGTGCGGATTCTCGATCAGAAGCGCGCGACTGTGCTGCATCTGAAACATCGCCACCTGAACAGCCAGACACCAGAAGAAAATTCTTTTCTGCTCCAATGGGTCTCTCTCTGCAGGATCCATCTTTCTCCAGTTCGGCACCCTGTCAACCGAAACTCCGTGGCGCGGAGGGGTCATGATAATGACTTCTGGTGCATCCCTCCCCAACAGCTTCCACATCTGAGCCCTTTCTCGGGATCTCCGGAGATCCCATCCTGTCTCGAGGTCTATCGAGGTCGAGCATGG